CGGTTTCGGCTGGTCGCCAATACCAGCACTCTTCAGGGGTCTTTAGTCGGTAGGAAGCCAGAGTATGTGATCCTATTTATCTTGCGTGGAGTTGTGTATACAATGTTCTAGGTACTACTGAACTAGTTCTAGTAGTGTCGACTAACAATCCACAGTTAAAAGTCCAGCTTCAAGAACCTTCAGGAAAACACACACCGACATCACGTGATCGAAACCTTCATGGACAGATGACTACCGATCGGAACACACAAAAAAACACGGTTCGAGACAAAAGAACAAGAAAAAGAAAAGCAAACAAGGAAAATACAAGGTCCGAACCTGCTACAGACTACCGTGACAATGACAAGGACACATCGCGGGTTCAAATCCTCGTAAGTGTACTAAAAAACCCCAACCACCAGGTCATCCCTGAGACCGGCCGACCCGATTCCATCCAGTGAGTACTGGTACACAAGGTTGTCGAACGCGATAGCAGGCTTCAATGTGAAAACAACAGTAAGAACCAGCCTGGAAGGCTCGGACCGAAAGTGAGCCAAAGCTCAAGCGTCAAAACCCTGTTCGAGCTACTGGCGGTCGACCCTACATGTTTCATCTGGCCGCTAGTGCCGGAATCGTTAGGGGTCTACTCGCGGCGGGGATACCAAAAGTGTTGCCGTCAATGAAGTTATAGGAAGAGCCTAAGGTAAGAACGAGCCTAAAGCGGGGAAACTTCTAGACCAGGTGCCTCCGAAAGTCACCAGTTCAAGCCCCGACAGGGGACCGAATCCCAACTACCCGCACAAAGGGTGCCCCTGTCTCATCACCATCGCTCATCCAGGAGCCCAGACATCCAATCGAAATCTCATCTAATCTTTTCCAACCTGTCAGGCATCTGACATCCAATCGAAATCTCATCAAATCTTTTCCAACCTGTCAGGCATCTAACCCATCGGTCCCAGATGCCACCGAATTTAATAGAGAAATTCACCAAAGCATTATCAAACTAATAGTCAGAAAACCCTCGTAACCTCAGTTCTGTCTTCAACGATAGAATAAAAATCCCTTCAGCATCCTGCATGTTGGTAAACCGTCGAGCACGATGCATGAAGGAAGTGATCACCGCCACTTTTTGCTGCCGACTAGAGTATGATGCTGCATCCTGCAGATTCTGAAACCTGATTCTCCCATTCCTCACGGCAAACTGATTTTTAAGTATCGCAGCACATCTCACCCCCACGGACTGTTCGAAGTCTTTCAAGATACAGTCCAAAAATTCCCAAGACCCCGACCGATTTGTACATTCCAAAGTGAGATTGCGGTCATAAGAGCTCTCAAACTTGCCCAAAATTCTCCAGGCATTCCTCTCACCAATCAAGTCACCCTTCTTAAATTTCAAGAAGATCGTCACATCATCAATAAGCCTAATACCATGGACCAACCTCCTGTCTGCACCAAGGGACACCAAGAAGCATAATTCAGAATGGGCACACAGCATGCATGCAAGCGCAGGGCTCGATGGCTTACCCATTGGGATACCAATAATCTGTCTCAAGATCTTTCCCCCAACTGTAGTAAAGGTGTTAGCTAAGTCAAACTGGACGAAGCTCATGGGAACATGGAAATCAACACGATTCCATCCCTCCAAGCTGTGACCCTTATAAATTTTCGCCCCTTTACCACGCCTCTTGACAAGGAGCCTCTCAGCCCCATCCCTAACCCAAAAATCAATCAACCATTCAAGTGACTTAATTATGGATTGATGAGGGAGATTATGAAACATCTCCTTTACATCATACACGGTAATAAGCAATCCCTCATCAGACTTAACATCCTTATTAATCGATTCGACATTCTGCAACAAGAGATCGACACTCTTCATAGCGAAATGCGACCTGCTAGGTAACTGCCAAATCATCTCATTAACCATCATGGACACTCTGCGCGACCCACACATGTTGCCCTCGGAGAAGGAGGGACAGATAGGACGCCATTTAGTTATATCCTTGTGTTTAGGGATAACATACGCCCGACCAATCTTACCTTTAACATCCCACTTGGCAAGCGCGGTCAGTCCCTTCTCCTCGTAAGCATCCTCCGTTCTTCCAATAATTGAGGTTTCATTATCCTCCATCACCTCGAAACCATCGTTAGCTAAGAACAGCTTCTTCAACCCTATCTCATACATTACCGGACAGCAGACCAGGGTATCGCCCGGGTTGTGGTCAATTGGGACACAGACCAACCCCTCCACCGCCTCCTTCCACTCAAGTACCTCTTCCATCCGAATATGAGGCCCTAACTTGGTCCTAGCACCCGAATTCAAACATCCCTCCAAGTCACGCCGGGCCACAGCCGGGACCTGGAACCCAACAGTTTGCAAACAGACATCAATCTCCTTCTGTAAACGCTTGGTCAAATTGAATATTCCAGGTACAGGTATGTTACGACTATTCTTTACCCAAATCGGAGCCTGATCCATGTCACCCACTCGACAACACACATGGCCCTCAACTCGATCCCACAGTGGATCATGCTTTAGGCACGAACAAGTGAGGGAGCTCTCCTGCAAATATTTTCGAAAATTGAACAATGTATCCCCGATGCTCTTATTCTTCACCCACACAACGCGAGCACGATGGACCACCAGACTCTTCCAATCTGCATTAGCTTCGGCACGCTTGACTAGCTGTTTACACAAATTTCGAATACCTGGCTTGCTCAAACGATGGTCAAACGGGACACGAACTGTAAGCCGCTGCCTAACATTCAAGTCAAACCTCCTACGAATGACCCCGGATAGAATCAATCTAAGAGAGCAGCGTGTCCTCTTCTCCGAAAATGCACGAATGGCCAAAAAACACCTAACCAAGTTGCCGAAATCCCAGCAGTAAAGTTCTTTCCATCGGGCTGGTTTGGCCAGTAACTCGGCCAAGAAGGGTTTCAAATAACTCAGCTTAGAGCAAAAGGATACAATATTATCGAAAATCACCAAAGCACCCTCCCGAAAAAAAACGCGACATTTCTTCAGCACCCCGCTAACTCCTTCAGATTTCACAATCGAGGTACCAAAACGACGCTTCAGCAACTTCCAGTTATCCAACAGTCTCCCCCCATCCCCACAATCTCGACCTCGGTCTTCCCTTTACTTAAGCAGCCATCCAAAATTCGAATCAAGGAAGCTGAGGCACCTCCGATGGTGGATCAAATGACATATGCTGTTTGATAACGGATTTTCCCAAGCTCCTGCCATCCCTAAGCTTCTTCCTACACCGTTCCCTCTTTCCACTTCTCCTACGTGAGATGGTCCCCAGGATTGGTCACTGCGTGTGAAGATCATGCATGACATGTACACATCTGCGTGAGATGGTCCCCAGGACCCATGCATCACATTCCGTTCTCCTTACTTAGGCCTACTCCCTGCATCTTTGTTCATAGTTCGGGGACCAAGTCCCCACTTGCAGAAATTCTTCATTTCCGGCCGTCCATCTCTGCAATCTACTGTCAGAAATAAAGGATATGGGTAAGTTGTACTTGCTCATAGTTCCGGGCCCCAGTAGCAGGAGTTTAGACTTGGCTTCTTGAGTACGCACCTGTTCCTGCCATCCGATCTGCCATCCGATCTGCCATCCGATCTGAACATCTGATGGATGTCCAAATATGCTGTGTGGCTGGAAAAAAAGATATGTACTATTTTTAGACGTAGAACACTTCAGAAATTTCGCAGTGCGTAATAGTGTACTGGGAAGGTTTGTACTTGATGAAGCTTGGGATTTCATCAGCCATAGTACTTGCAACTCCTGTCCCGTAGATCGGAGGTGCGCTGAACAATGCTCCCGCGGACCGGGAAGCAGGGGATCCGCTAAGGAAATAGAAAAACAATGCTGAGGGGAGGATTCTCTGAGCACAGGGGGAAAAAAAAGAGAAAAGAGAAAAGGAGCCTCCAACTGGGCCCTTTCATAGTGGTTCCCACAGGCCACTCACTACCTCCGGCCCAGCGCCCAGGCCAGAAGTGTCATATGCCCCAAGTGTCATGCTCTTACTTCTCACACCGGTAAGAGCCGAAATTAGCTGGGCAGAGCAGCAGCATGGCTGCTGACGAATGTATGTGTTCTACTCGAACATGCTGCGTACCGTCTTCCCCGGAACATAACACATATGCGTTGTATTCAAGTTTTTTGTTAAAAAATCGATGATTCAAAGAGAATACGTCTGTGTTCTACTGGAACATGAGGGCTGTTAGAACAGAAAACGTGTATGCCTTGTACTCGAATAGAAACAACCAACCTATGCGTTGTTGTATTCGTTTACAATGCATATATGAGTTATGTTCAGGGGAAGACGGTAGGCCTACCAAAGCCTACCAGGTTGCACTTGCACTTGGGCCCACCCAAGTTGCTGGAAAATCCCTACCGGCTACATGCCAAACTCCCCATTTGTCCTTGTCTTGTCCAATTTCTATCCTATCCCTGCAGTTCCCACACTGCTGATCTGCCCCTCCTGTGACTCAGGAACACAGTGCAGGAGGACACAGTTAGTACATGGAATAGCAATCAGGTCATGTGGAGACTTAGAGACCCATACAAGCAAACACGAATCTCACTCAAAGCGCGGAAATCTCAGCAAGTCAAGTCAGACTACCGTCTTCACCCGAATAGAACGTCGGGTAATTATCGCCGTATCTGGGCTGAAAGTTTTGTCAAATACAGGTATAATGACCGGGCGTTCTATTCGGGTGAAGACGGTAGCATTCAGCAATACTCAGAAAACTGCATAAATCTCAGAGTGATTCTGTGCGGGCCATTGCATCTGGAGAAAAAAAGGGGTTTAGCATGGACCCATAGATAAACAATATTGCAAGGAAAATGAGCGATAGCGAACTTCAGAAATCAAACAGCATCATACACATAAGACCAGATAGTCATGCCCTCGAACCAATAGCAGAATTGCATCACGAGTTCCACCAAATAAGAACACAGCAAAAGCTCATGATTGAATATGCTGGAAAAGTTTCATCATCATCAACGAAGAACCAATGTCGATATCCTATCTGGCGCTCGGCGTCCAGACTACAGATGGCAGATCCTATCTAGCCTAATCTACAATGCTGCCGATGACGTCAACAGCTCCCCGAAGTACGAGCAGATCTCGGCCAATGTCGTACGCTTCAAGCACCAGGTATGTCTCTCGTATCACTCACAACCTCGTTCCCCAACTCACAGTTGCCACATGCACCCAAGGACCACCATGCGCCCCATCCAGCATACAGCAGCGCAGCTCGGCTATGGCTGCCTGCTCCTTCCAGCTCGCCCGTGAGCGCATGAGCGCTGGCCAGCGTCAGCGCAGCAGCGCTTGCGCAGCATGCAGCCAGTGCCTGAATGCCCAATGCGGGAGGGGGGCTCTGTCGCCTAGCTCGGAGACAGGACCGACAGTTGGTACTGCAGGAGGGGGGCTCTGTCGAGGAAAGGGTACACTCGGCCCTACGGGTCGTCGGTCCGGCCGCCGCAAGCCAGGGTCGGGGGAGGACCAGCCCACAAAAGTGGCGCCGTTGCCGGGGATGAGCATTTCTCCCGCGGCCGTGGCCGGCTCAAAGGACTCGGTGTACGGGGAGGACCAGCGTGACAGGCAGCGGTAGGGAAAGTCTGGGGCGTTTTGCAATTTTTCTGGCATCAAGTCCTTCGGCACACGGCTTCAAGGTAGTCTTCATCGGGTTCTACGCGGTTCTTCTCAAGCGGCATCGGCGAGAGCTTTATTGGGGGGGAGAGGGGCTGTTGTTGGGCTTGTTGGGTGTGAGGGGCTTTGGTTATTGGGACTTGTCTCCTTGGCTTTTTTTGCAGGTCCGCTCTGGCCCGCTTGTGATCTCGGCTCCCACTTCCGGCCTTCGAGGAGTAAAGCAGGTCAGTTCCTTTTTGTGTGCTTGGTTTTTTGCGCATGTTTATTTCTAAAAACTTAAAAATTAAGGGGGTGCACAGTTTGCTTGAGGGGTCTGAATGAGGGTGAAGAACAAAGAAAGGGTGGGAAGAAGAACAGTCCGGGAAAATAGTGTAAGGGGGTCTGCTCAAGGGGAAGAGAGAGAGAGGGGGAGTGGGAGAGAGGAGAGAGAGGGCCGAGAGGGTCCGGGGGCGCTGTCTATTTGGGACCCAAGGGGGTCGCCAAGTATTCTTGATCCGCACAGGTTGTGGAGGGCACCTACCCGGGGGCGAAGTCCCGCACGAGAGAGGGTGTCTAGAGAGGGGTTAGGGGCTTCGGTTCTCGACCCGCGAGGGCTGACGACGGTTCCAACTCCCACAAGGGAGCGGGACTCTCAAACGGGACCGGTCCGGGACTTGGGGGAGAGGAGACTGGTGTTACGGGTACCGGGGCGAGGGGGAGAGAGAGACACGCCTACCAGTCTTAGCGAGGGCGTTAGAGAAGAAGGGGGTACTTGGGGGACCTTGGACGAGGGATCGGAGGCCGAATCCTGGGTGGACCGGTGTCTAGCCGATTTCTCGGACTCGGAACTAGGGGACTATTAGGACTATGATAACGGATATTGAAGATTCAAGGTACGTATACTTATCAACCTAACCTGAGAGCCTCTTCCTAGAGCTCCGCTCTTCCTGATTTTCCAGTGATTCCAAGAGAGAAAAGAGGCAGCGGGAGGCAGAAAAGGAAGAAGGGAACGATGTGCGAAGAGTTCACAATGAGGAGAATGGGGAGGGAGTAAATAGGCTAGTGATTTTTGATAAATAGGTGGATCTTGTCCTGGGACCCGGGTAATTCCACGCTTGAGGTGGGCCGAGTAGAGGCGTGGTACCGAATAGGCTAACTTAGGACTAGAGGTCGGTTCAGTGGGGGACATAGGACCCAGGTGTGTGACTTCGGTCCAACTTCGGGGAGGGGGTTGCCACCCTTCCTCGGGGATAGCCTGTGTCCGCGGCTAGTCTCTAGGCCGGGAGTGGGGAGGAGTCTCTCAGCGGGGGAGGACAGGAAGGTAGCCGAGTGAGACGGCGTTCCTTCTCTAGTCCATTTGATCCTTCTGAGCTCACAAGCTTCTCTTCCTTGCGGGATAGAGGTGGTCTCTCGAGTGGCCAAAAGGAAATAGGAACTTAGGGAATTTTCCTTTGATTATACTGCATGAGCCTAGAAGCCGCTCCAGAATGGATTAGTGTGTGTACGTACGGAAGTGTTGACGTGTGGTGTTACTCCTTTCGACTATGGACGGGTGACTTTGATGTGGGTGTCTATGTAGAGGAGGGGCAAAATCAAGGAGAGGACTTTCTTCGTGGGTGGGAAGAGGCGATAGGCCACTCCCGCGGTTCGCGGGAGGAATTGAGGGGTTACGGGTACAAGTATTTCTACTCTCTAGGATATCGAACCTAC